TACTAGAAAAACCAACCACTATTTTTAAATACTTCGAAATTGAATTTTTATAAATAAAATTAGCGGGTAAAAAAGGTGGTCCCTGTAGGGACCACCGTACTTCAAAGGGTTAAAGCTGTATTGAGAAATTTTCCAATCTTACCTGGAATTTTGAATAAAATTCTTAGAAAATCCGGGAATTTTCAGGGAATTCTTTTACAAAATTTGAGTACCCACCCTGGTATTGTGTGTATCTTCAATATTCATAATTTAATCGACACAAGCCTTGTGTTTCTCTTTCTCACAGATTGGAAGGCGCACCATCTTCCGCTGACTTAATGTCGCGATTGCAAACGATCATAGAGCGTAATGAAATTAATCTGATTCAAACACGTCGAGAGAGGTAAATAGAAGTTTTTTTGTAAAATTCGAGAATATCTCAAGGTTTATGACAAAATGGATCTAGAAAGGAGTCTGGAAACGATGATTAAAGCTTGATCTCTTGAGTATCTCCTGATACGTGAAGATAAATATAATTAATATGTTATATTTATTGTTATCGTTTCATTTGGCACTTTTTCAGGGCAGAACGCAGCGCGGCGCAGTCACTTCGGCAGCAGCAAGATCGCGCCTACGAGGAGTCGTTACGCGCGGATCAGGAGAAGGATCGCAGGAGAGAGGAGGAGCGAAGGGCGCGTGAGGAGCAAGAGGCGCGGGAGAAGGAAGAGTTGGACGCTCAAGAGCTGGAGATTCAACGTATACGTCTCGAGAAGGAACTGACCATTGAAAAAGTGCCCCTCGAGCCGCAGCCGTCTAATCCCAGTGCGTGTCATCTTCAAATTAAGCTTGGAGAGAGAACGATGAAAAGACGATTTCTTATGACTGATACAGTCAAAGTAAGTACATAGTTATAGCAAACGATTATAAATATAAATTAGAAATATCCTCAATTGTAATACGAAAGATTTGCAGAAGTTTTTCATCGCACTTGTGAACACATTTGTGCAGCACGTCACTTATTATTGCTGTACAATTAATTTGCACATTTACACTTCTCAACAAAATTAAAGCATCACTTACTCTACCCTCCAAAAATAGGCAAAATTCAAGTGTAACTTCGTCAAAAATGATCGTATCGAGATGTTCAAAAAAGCATTTTACAGCTTGAAATCTCTACTTTTCAAATCGGTACTTTAGAAAACGAGCCTACTGATTTTTCATGGAATTATATGGATTGAAAAGGAGACGAATTTCAAAATTTTTTATGAACTTTGACAAGTTCCATGGCGCGAATTAAAAATCGCATGCAAATGCAGTTTACAGCTTTCAAAAGAATGAATCTTTACCTTTAATTTGCTTTTTTGTTGAGCGTTGTACGATTTTTTTTCACCGAGTTATTCAACATTAAAGTAAAAATGGTCCTTTTTGCTTCAA